TTCTCATTGGTTTCGAAGAACTTCTTTATTTCTGCCTTCATTTCATTGTTTATCCAGTCAACATTCAAGAGCCAGTTGTTCAGTTTCCATGAAGCTGTGCGGTTCTGGGTTGGTTTCTGAATTCTGAGTTCTAACTTGATTGCACTATGGTCTGAGAGGCTGTTTGTTATGATTTCAGTTGTTTTGCATTTGCTGAGCAGTGATTTACTTCCAATTATGTGGTCAATTTTAGAGTAGGTGTGATGTGGTGCTGAGAAGAATGTATATTCTGTGGATTTGGGGTGGAGAGTTCTGTAAATGTCTATCAGGTTTGCTTGCTCCAGGTCTGAGTTCAAGCCCTGGATATCCTTGTTGATTTTCGGTTTTTCTTTTTTATAGCAGTTTTCACCTTCTAACACGTATGCATACTATATAATATGAATTTACTTGTTATATCTATAGTGTATTGTTTCATATCATCCTATAGCACTGGTTTTTAAAAATCCTTGCTCAGTGGACTACAGCAATAGAAATCAAACTTGTCCCTTTCCTTGGCCTTTTACTTTCCTCCTCCAGCCCCTAGGTAGCCTTTCCATGAATCTTTCTAAAATGAGAATCTGATTTGGTCATACTGCAGCTTAAAACTCTTTAATGGCTCTTGACTGCTTATAATTTTAAGCATAGTATAAAGGGCTCCTCATGACCTAACCCCTCACCAGTAATCCAAACCCATCTCCTATATCTAGGGCCCACCATACCAAATATTTATAGTATACCTGTGCTTTTAAAACTTTTCTACAAAAGTACTCCTAATATCAAAGGAAGGATGACTTATTCCTGATGGACAAAGATGGGAGAGAGACACTGAAAACACAAACTTCTTTGACGTTTCCTATTTCATCCTATAAATTCATGTGGTCATTGTAGTCAATTCCGTAACACATTTATATTTGTTTTAACTTTAAAAAGTTTAATCCCAGCTGGGCACGATGGCACATGCCTGTAATCCCATCACTTTGGGATGTCAAAGCGGGCAGATCACTTGAGGTCAGAAGTTTGAGACCAACCTGGCCAACATGGCAAAACCCTGTCTCTACTGAAAATACAAAAATTAGGCAAGGTGCGGTGGCTCATTCCTGTAATCCCAGCACTTTGGGAGGCTGAGGTGGGTGGATCTTGAAGTCAGGAGTTCAAGACCAGCCTGGCCAACATAGTGATACCCTATCTCTACTAAAAATACAAAAATTACTTGGTGTGATGGCACACGCCTGCAGTCCCAGCTACTTGGGAGGCTGAGGCACAAGAATAACTGGAACCCGGGAGGCAGAGGTTGCAGTGAGCTAAGATCACACCACTCCACTCCAGTCTGGGTGACAGAGTGAGACTCTGTCTCAAAAAAAAAAAAGAAGTAAAAGTTTAATCCCTACAATATAGTTGAATAAAATAAATGTTCTAGGAAAACAGGCATGTTCAGATGCAGTCTGATTTTGTAAACATCTCAGCATGCTACCACAAATCCCTGGGTGAACTTGTACTCTTGTTTCATGTGCAAGAGTTACCAATTCATACTTCTGTACCTTAACACAGGGGTCCCCAACCCCTAGACTGGTACAGGTCTGCAGCCTGTTAGGAACTGGGCTGCACAGCAGGAGATGAGCTGCAGGCAAGTGAGCATTATCGCCTGAGCTCTGCCTATTTACTAAATCAGCAGTGGCATTAGATTCTCGCAGGAGCACAAACCGTATTGTGAACTGCACATACAGGGGATCTAGGTTATGTGCTTCTTATGAGAATCTAATGCCTGATGATATGAGGTGGAACAGTTTCATCCTCAAATCATCCCTGGGCTGTTCGTGGAGGAACTGTCTTCCATGAAACTGGTCTCTGGTGCTAAAAAGGTTGGCACCTGCTGTCTTAACACACGGTTCTTTATGGATGGAATAGACTTTCTCCACTTCCCTACCTGTGACATCTTGTTCATCTTCAAGACTCTCCTGAAGTCTATGAGTCATCTAAGCAGACAGAGCAAACTGCTTTTACATATTTATCACGAGAATTATACACTGCAATTATTGATTAGACAATGATCTTCTTGAGATTAGTGGCCATATCTTATTTGCCTATGTATATTAGTGTTAGTTAACATTTATTGAGTATTTATTATGTGACAAGGGTTTTATATGCATTATTTTATTCAGTCCTCAAACTTAGGAGGTTATTATAGAGACAGGATGCAAGTTCATTGAGGGCAGGTTTATAATTATTTTATTCACAGGTGTATGTATCTCTTGTGCCTAGTACAGCACCTGGCACATTGAAGGCACTTAAAAAGGATTTGTTTAGGCTGGACATGGTGGCTCACACCTGTAATCCCACCTGGGCTTCATTTATATAGAGGCTGAGGCAAGCAGATTGCTTGAGCTCAGGAGTTTGAGACCAGCTGGGCAACATGGCAAAACCCATCTCTAGAAAAGATGCAAAAGAACCTGTTGTAGTGGTATGTGCCTGTAATCCCAGCTACTTGGGAGGCTGAGGTGGGAAGACTGCTTGAGCCAAGGGGTCAAGGCTGTAGTGAGCTGTGATTGAGCCACTGCATTCATTACCTGAGTGACAGGGCAAGGCCCTATTTAAAAAAAAAAAGGTGGGGAGATTGTTGAACAAGGAGGAAACCAAAGCTCAAAGAGGTTAACTAACTTGTCTAGGGTGTACGGCTAGTAAGTGGAGGAGACTAGATTTTAAATCTGGGACTGCTTGACTGTATGTAGATTATAGTCTTTGCTATGCTGCCTCTCTGTCTCCAAATTCCAGCTCAGATTTTGGTACAGAGAAGGTAGACAGAAGACATCTGTTGAATGAATGAATGTCTTTTACCTTTAGGTTACTTATTTGCTTCACCCTAGCATTCTCTTATTTCTTCATTTCTCTATCCTGATTTTTAATCTCTACGGCTAGGACACAAGCCACAGTGGGCATGGGTGGACCTAGCTTTCATCCTGCTTCTCTTCTTATCAGTAAATATTACTGCTATACATGGAGAAGAAAACATTTAATACTGGAAAAACACATGGATATTGCACTAGGGGTAGTTACATTAAGAGCTGTTTTTTATTACATAGTGTCAAACAGTTCTAAAACACAAAATGAAAAATAGATGGTCATAAAACTTATAAAAATTAACCCAGAATTTCCACATTTTATATTTTTGTGGTCATGATATTTCTTAGTAAAGGTAAACAAGAAGTTTATAAAAAGTATTTATACAAATTAACTTGATTTATTATTATTTATCATTATTTTAAGACATAGAGTCTCACTATATTGCCTGGGCTGGAGTACAGTGACACGATCATAGTTCACTACAGCTTCAAACTCTTGGGCTCAAGGGATCCTCCTGCCTCAGCTTCCAGAATAGCTAGGAATACAGACATGTTCCACCATGCCCAATTAATTTCTTCTTCTTCTTCTTCTTCTTCCTCTTCCTCTTCCCCTTCTCCCTTCTCCTTCTCCTTCTTCTCTTTTTCTTCTCCTTCTCCTCCTTGTTCTTCTTTCTTCTTCTTCTTCTTTTTTTTTTTTTTGCTATGTTGCCCTCATTAGTCTTGAACTCCTGGCTTTAAGCATTCTTCCCACCTCAGCCTCCCAAACCACTATTATAGGTATAAGCCACTGTGCCTGGCCAACTTCGTTTTTTATACTGTTAATAAAACTTTCCAAATAAAAGAGTAATTATATAATGGCATCATTTCAAGTTACAATAAACAAGAAAGTGATATCTTCTCTTTTCTTTCTTTGAGACAGAGTCTCATTCTGTCGCCAAGGCTGGAGTGCAGTGGCGCAATCCTGGCTCACTGCAACCTCCACCTCCTGGGTTCAAGCGATTCTCCTGCCTCGGCCTCCCGAGTAGCTGGGATTACAGGCATATGCCACCACACCCAGCTAATTTTTGTATTTTTAGTAAAGACGAGGTTTCACTATGTTGGCCAGGCTGGTCTCCTGACCTCAAGTGATCTGCCCGCCTTGGCCTCCCAAAGTGCTGGGATTACAGGTGTGAGCCACTGTGCCCAGCCGTGATCATTTCTTTTCTATAGCATTTACATTAGTTCATCTACCTGCAGCTGACCTGGAGAAAAGCAAGGCATAATCATGTGATTATAGAATACATTTCAATAGCCAGGTTCCAGTTAGATGATTATTGTATAGCTTGAATTGTAGAAGTTATAAGAACATTAGTAAATGTTTATATAAGCACAAAATACTTTAAAACTCTGGCAATTCTGCATAGTGTGGTTATTTATTCATTTTTGTTTGCTAGTTTGTTAAAAGAATGGTGAAAAGGAGTCAGACAAATTTAGGTTATAATCCTGGCTCTGCCCCTTAATAACTTTGTCACCCTAGGGAAAATTACTTAATATTTCTGAGTTCATTTTCCTTGAAATGTATATAATAATTCCCAATTCATAGGACTGTTGGTGAGATTACAAATCTGTGTAGTAATGAGCATAGTACCAGACACATGGCAGCACTCAAAGACCTGTCTATTTCACTCTGGTTTCATAATGGCATGCACTTAAATCACTATTTCCTATAATAAAGTTTCCTATGTCTGCTTCTTTTAATGTAAATAACCTCCCATGTCAAAAAATGTGTTAAAATATATTAGGGGGAAAATATTTAAGGAATTCTCAGTCTGTCTTTTCTAGATGTCATAAAAAGGCTTGCGTGTATGTGCATAATGCTTCCTGTTCTTTCTGCTTATAATAGCAATGTTGCATCTGTCGCATTACTGAATACCAACAGCCAGCTGGACCTGTGCATTGGCTATCCCAGGTATATTCCCGTTACCTACACTTGGGTCCTGTAGGCATTTGACTTTGTAACCTCTCTTTTAAACACTGAACTTCCTTAGAACATCTATCATTTCATTTTTAAAAATTTTATCTGCATATCATTTCTTAGACAAGGAAATCACAAAGCAGGCATGTATTATTAAACAATCTAATGTGTAATAATTTACAAAAAATTACCTGATGGAATATCGGCTCTTTTACCTTAAGGTAAACCTGCAAAATATTAGAAAAAACACATGTGAATGAAGTACATTATAAAGGGGGAGAAACCTATTCCAACTACTCTGTAAATCCCAAACCTCTCCTGCTTCCCCCATCCTACTTAGATTTGAATCCAGCCATGTAAAAGCAATCAGATCAAGTAGCATGCCACAGTGGGGCTAATATCTATAGCAAGACCTTAGTGCTAGCCCTGCTATGGTCAGTAGAGTGTTTTAGATCTGTTGTGGACTACTCCCGACTCTGCATCAGTATCAAGGATGGATAAGGATACAGGGATACTCATGAGGAGTGAAGAGGTTATGCTGACAATCCCTATAGCAGATCTGTTCTACAACAGAGACAACACCGGACTGAGAGATAGGAGTAAATTTCAAACTCTGCCACTTACTTGCTACAGGCCTTGGGCAAGTTATTTAACTAAAAGGTTCATTTTTTCTCATCTGGATAATGAAGAATAATAATGGTGAGGAATGATAAGCTAAAATACCTGAAAGTGTCTAGCACACAGTAGGTGCTCAGTAAGTAAAGACATTTAAAACCAATTTATTGTGCTTTCTTATGCTTCCAGAAATCTCTAACTAACCTTTCTACATGTATTCACAGTTACACAGACCCTAGTTGTAGGGTCCAATGTCATGTGGATGATTAAGCTCAGTGCCTACTCAAGATTTAGCATGCATATATTGCCCTGCAGGGACACAATTTTTAAATGATATGGTACAGGGGAATCAAAATTCAACTCATAACCCTGCTATGACTCTCATCACTTGCAGGACAAAGTTTACTTTTCTTAGTCTAACATTCAAATCCTTCCATGACTCCTGCCTTTCTGTTTGGTCTCACTACTATTTTCTTGTCTCCTCCTCATCCAAGACTCCAGAAAGTACTGTGCTTCCTCAAATGGGCTCGCTTCATGCTTCCATATCTTTAAACATGCTGCTCTCCACTTTGTTCAGAAATCCTCCTCTACTCATTACTCATCTTTTAGGATTCAACTAAAACTATACTTCCTTCTTGAAGCCTTTTCTGATCCTTTCTCTATACAGCAGAAGCCATTCACCCTCCTTTCTACCATTATTCATGTATAAACTTTGTGGCATTTAATAGTTTGTTTCTCTCCCTACAAGTCTATAATATATTTCTACATCCTCATTTAATGTGGCAATTTCATAAAATTTTATGTAATTTTATTATTTGGCTATAAAATTTCTTACTTCTGGAGGAAGTTTCTACCATCAGTACAAAATAAACAAAAACCCAGATTATTTCCTTTAAGCACGATGAGCTTTAAAAATATGATGTGCATGAGACATTATATATCTGTAACTCTAAACCCAGTAAGGGAGAATGCTTTTAATCTCTGAAATTTCTTATTTCAAAATTTCCATTCATATAGGTAATGCTATCAGATTCCCATTGTTACCAATAAAAGAAATGCAAAAGGACATGCCTCTTAAAGACATTTTTTTAAGGCAAACAATTATGGAGTCCTTAGTATGTGTTAGGTATTAATTTTCACAACTAACATAAAATATATACTATTATTTTCTTCATTTAACAGATGAAGGAAACTAAGGCTGAGAGAGATTAAGTAATTTGCAAGGTCTCGAAGTTTCTAAGTAAGCTGGATCCAAACTTAGATCTGATTTCAAAGTCTGTCTCTGCCACCAATTCTCTATATAAACTTGATTGGCCAGGCAAGTCACTGACAATCTCTGGACTTGATTCTCTTCTTTCATATCATAACAAGATTTCATTTCACGTCTGAAATTCTACAATTCTTTAATGATTAGCCAATATGTAGTTGATATGGTTTGACTGTGTGCTGACCCAAAATCTCATCTTGAATTGTAATCTGAATTGTAATCCCCACGTGATGGGTGAGGGGCTTTCTGGGAGGTGAATGTATCATGGGGGTGGTCCCCCCTGCTGTTCTCATCAAAGTGAGTGAGTTCTCAAGAGATCTGATGGTTTTATAAGGAGCTTCTTCCCCCTTCACTCTGCACTTCTCTCTCCTTCCACTATGTGAAGGACATGTTTGCTTCACCTTCCACGATGACTGTAAGTTTCGTGAGGCCTCTCCAGCCATGCGGAACTGAGTCAATTAAACTTCCTTCTTCCTTCCTTTATAAATTACCCAGTCTTATTTTTGTTTTTTTTTTTTTTGTTTTTGAGATGGAGTCTCCTTCTTTTACCCAGGCTGGAGTGCAGTGGTGTGACCTCAGCTCAATGCAATCTCTGCCTCCCAGTTTCAAGCAATTCTCCTGCCTCAGCCTTCTGAGTAGCTGGGATTACAGGCATGTGCCACCACACCCAGCTAACTTTTTTTTTTTTTTTTTTTTTTTAGTAGAGACGGGGTTTCACCATGTTGGTCAGGCTGGTCTTGAACTCCTGACCTCACAATCCGCCCACCTCAGTCTCCCAAAGCGCTAGGATTACAGGCATGAGCCACTGTGCCTGGCCTTGGATATTTCTTTACAGCAGCATGAGAATGGACTAAGACAGTAGTTTAGGCAAAGAAATGTGGAAACAAGTAAATAGTGTATATGTGCCCTTTCAACCTCCTATTCAACATCTCAAATAACTGAAATCTAGCTTCTGCCTCCATCAATTTACTACTGACAGCATCCTCATTAAGGTTACCTGGTCTTCTAACTGAAAATCTTTATTAGCGTTCAATCTTCACTGTACTCATCCTTTCAGAGGCAACTGTTCTTCCATTTTTCACTTCTAGAAATCTTTGTACTCCATGACATCAGGTTTTCCTAGCTTTCTTACATACCTGATTACTTGTTTTCAGTCTCTTTTGCCAGCTCCATTTCTTCCACCTAGTCCTCAAATGTAAGCATTTCATTAGGTTGTACTTTTAGTCTGTTTGTTTGTTTGTTTTGAGACAGGATCTCACTCTGTCATCCAGGCCAGAGCGCAGTGACACAATCACGGCTCACTGAAGCCTTGACCTCCTGGGCTCAAGTGATCCTCTCACCTCAGCTTCCTGAGTAGCTGGGACACAGGTACATGCCACTACATCTGGTTAATTTAAAAAAAAATTTTTGTACAGACAAGGTCTCACTATATTGCCCAGCTGGTCTTGAACTCCTGGGCTCAAGCAATCCTCCCATATAGACCTCCCAAAGTGCTGGGATTACAGAAAGGAGCCACCATGCCTGGCGGCTCCACTCTACTTCGAGGATAAAAATTTGCTTAAACAAAGCATATAAGCGTATTACAATCTGATATTTGTTTAATTCTATAGACTCATTCACTGCTCATCCATTACCATATGTTCCAGCCATATTAAATCTTGCCCATATTAAATCATCACCATTCAAACAGTGGTGATGATTGAATGAGACAATAAAGGTAAAGTAGTTACAATATCTGGCATATAGTAAGTTATTAAAATGGTAGTTTACTATGTTGTTCCAAAGTTCTCTGCCTATGAACAAACAATAGTGCTATCTACAAATGTTTCACCACACTCTTGCCCAGTGGCCTGATGAACTCCTAATCATCAGTTAAATTCTAGTTCAAGTGCCTCCTCTTGGAAGCTTTCCTTGACACATGCAGGCAGCCTGATTGAACCACCTTTATCTCATCATTGTATGAGTAGTTTTTATCTCTATTATTGTAATTATTATTTTTTGATGCGATTTTTTTGTGTACATGCTTAAATGCTCTAATAGAATGAGCTCCTCACAGATAAGCAACTGCTTTTTAATCATCTCTGTATTTCTAGAGCCTGACATGGTAGGTTTTCAATATATGCTTGTTGAAATAAATATTTTCACATTATAAAATGCAATTTACTTGAGGAAAAAAAGCATTAATGTATAATCAGAAGTGACTAGCTGTCTCAACTTATTAGGGAAAAGTTAATCATTAAAATAGTCACATTAGGACCAATGGAGCTGAGCCAATCTCTCATTTTTAACAAATAGATATGTCCATCTATAAGAAAAGTTAATTTTCCCCTATTGCTACTAAATATTTGCTTTTTTGCTTTCTCTCTTTAAAAACTAAACAGATTTTAAAAGTTATTTCAATTACAGTGAGAAATAACATTTGAACAGGGTACAAGGGAGCAATATTTGTCAGTGCAATATTCTAGTTTTGTATAGAAAGATTTCAGTTTGACATCATGAAGCAAATACTGAAAGTAAAATATGCCAAACTCCATAAATGGCAAACTTATATGCTTAATCTGTTAGAAACAAAATATGACTTACTGTGGTTACTATTAAACTGAATAGAACTAAGGTAAAAAGCAGATGGTAGTTTACTGAGTTCTTGATCTTGAAACATTCAAACCTTGAAAAAAAGAGAGAAAGAAACTTTTTAAAGAATATATAAGTAGGAACATAAATAGAATGATGCTTTACCACTTCCCTGTATCTCTTGATGATTGAGTGATATCAATCATTTCTTTCCACTCATATTCTTTCTTTCCACTCAGGTTCTAAGAAAACCTGTACTGCCCATTATCCTCTAAGAAGCTGGAAGGACTAGGAGTAGACACATGACTTAAACTGGGACAATGAAAGGCTCTCACCTGAAGTCTGGAGTTTGGGAGCTAAGACTGAATCAATTCAGTATAGAGAGTCAGCTGGGCAGAGTGGCCCATGCCTGTAATCCTAGCACTTTGGGAGGCCAATGCAGAAGGATCACTTGAGCGCAAGAGTTCGAGACCAGCCTGGGCAACAAAGTGAGACCCTGTGTCTACAAAAAATAAAATAATTAGTGGGCATGGTGATGCATGCTTCCAATCCCAGCTACTTGGGATGCTAAGGTGGGAGGAGAGTTTAAGCCTGGGAGATAGAGGCTCCTGCCTGGGTGACAGACCAAGACCCAGTCTCCAAAAAAAAACAAAACAAAACAACACTATAGAGAGTCAAAGTCATATGGACTCAAGGTCTGAGGCTGATATTGGAGACAGCCAAATTGAATGAACAAGTAGATGAATAAGCAGAAGTATTTGCAGGGAGAGAGAAATACAGCAGATACAAAGACATGAAGCCATGTGGAGAGGAAGGAATGGCAAAAAGAGGAGGGAAGAACCTGCCCTTCCAGTTCTAGTAAGGTGGGGCTATACTTCCTGCTATTGGGTTCCATATACTTTCCTCATATCCTTACAGTAAATAAATAATCTCTCCTAATTCAAGCTAGCTTGAATAGTTTCTATATATTGGAACTAATGATTCCTAAGAAACATTACTGTAGAAAATACCAATCTATTGTAATTGTCTCTTTCCTTATCAGTCTCCCCAACTAGCCTGAGAATTCCTTGTGTGCAGGAATAAATCTTATTTTTTTCATATATCTAGCACAAAGATAACGCTTGATACATAGGAGGTATCTTGTAAATAAGGCAATATGAACAAACAATTGGCCATCAGTGAGTATCCAATCCAACGTTTGAGTACCATGGTATAGGCAGGAAGAGTGTTCTCTCAATTTACTAATTGGCTGTGGGAATTGGACCAACTCTTATTTTCTTATTTGTAAGGAAAGGTTGTTAGAACAGGCATTTTCTAAGACCTCTTTTACTTTTAAATTTTGTGACTTGGACAATGATAAAAATATTAGGTGAAATATTAGTTTTTACTTTTAAACTCTATTATTCCAAATTCTTAAGCAAGTTATCTGTTAAGAAACCAAAGGTCTTTAGGAGGCCTAGCTTGTATTTATTACCATGGTTATTTCACTTCATTATATATAGTCACTTTCTTATCTGTCCCCTTTCTCAGACAATGAGTTCCTTGACTCTGTATCCACAGAGACTAGGATCATGCCTAAAATGAACGTTTTCCAGTACATGTTTCACAAATGAACAAGCATAAGCACACAGAAGGCAAGACGAATTTAAAAATCATTAGAAGGCTTCGCATATTTGATATGTTCAAAGAATATCCTAAGGAACCAATAGAAAAATGAATAAATTGGCAAGATCATGGGATAAGAGGTCAATATGCAAAAATCACTTGCATTTCTAAATGCTGGCTACAAATAACTGGAAAATAAACCTTTTAAAAAGCAATACTGGTGGAGATGAGATCCAAGATGGCTGATCGCTAACAGCTCGGGATTGTAGCTCCCAGTGAAAGCGCAGAGAATGAGAGGACGCCACACTTTCATACAAATTTTCGTTGCTCACAGACCAGAAGATTCCCAGTGGAGGGGCTCCATGGGTCGCCAGTGCGACTCTTGTGGCCAGCGCAGCGGTTTCCCTGGCACCTTGGCGCAGCAGCTCTTTGTGCAGAGTAAACAGGAGGAGATTCCTGGGCAGAAGAGCACCATCAGTCTTATCGCTGCTGTTTTGGCTGGCACAGTGGGTTGCTCAGATTCCAGCACTGGGAATCAATAAACTGCGTGTCCACTCAGAAACCCAACTAGAAAGGCGGTAATCGTAAAGACAACAGATGGATAAATTTATAACAAAGGGAAGAAACCAGCCTAAAAAGGCTGAGCATACCCAAAATCAGAACCCCTCTCCCTCTACAGGGGATTGCAGTTCCTCATCAGCAACGGAACAAGCCCTGATGGAAAAGGACTGTGTGCCATTAACAGAAGTACACTTCAGAAGGTGAATGATAAGAAACTTCTGGGAGCTAAAAGAACTTGTTCTAACCCAATGTAAAGAAACTTAAGAACTTTGAAAAAAGGTTTGATGAAATGCTAACAAGAATAAACAATATAGAGAGGAATATGAATGAACTAATGAAGCTGAAAAACACACAAAAAAACTTTTATGCACGAGTTTGAATAGCCGAATTGATCAAGCAGAAGAAAGGATATCAGAGGTTGAAGATCTACTTAATGAAATAAAACAAGAAGATAAGAATAGAGAAAAAAGGATAAAAAGGAATTAGCAAAGTCTCCAAGAAATATGAGACTATGTCAAAAGACCTAATTTACGTTTGATAGGTGTACCTGAATATGACGAAGAGAATGAATCCAAGCTGGAAAATACCCTTCAGGATATTATTCAGGAAAACTTTCCGAATCTAGCAAAGCAGGACAATATTCAGCCCCAGGTAATACAGAGAACACCACAAAGATATTCCTCAAGAAGAGCAACACCAAGGCACATAATCGTTAGATTCACCAGGGTTGAAACAAAGGAGAAAATACTAAGGGCAGCCAGAGAGAAAGGTCAGGTTACCCACAAAGGGAAGCCTATTAGACTTACAGCAGATCTCTCAGCAGAAACCCTACAAGCCAGAAGAGAGTGGGGGCCAATATTCAACATCCTTAAAGAACAGAATTTTCAGCCCAGAATTTCATATCCTGCCAAACTAAGCTTCACAATTGAAGGAATAATAAAATTTTTTATGAACAAGCAAGTACTCAGAGATTTTATTACCACCAGGCTGGCTTTACAAGAGCTTCTGAAAGAAGCATTATACATAGAAAAAATAAGCCAGTATTAGCCTTTCTAAAAATATACCAAAAAGTAAAGAGCATCAACATAAAGAAGAATTTACTTCAATGAATCGATAAAATAGCCAGTTAACATCAAATGGCAGTAACCCTAAATTTAAGTTGACTAAATCCCCCAATCAAAAGATACAGCCAAAACCTAATGGTATGCTACATCCAGACCCATTTCACATCCAAAGATACACAAAGACTGAAAGGGATGGAGAAAGATTTACCAACCAAATGGAGAGCAAAAATAAATAAATAAATAAAAAGCAGGAGTTGCAATTTTTGCATCTGATAAAATAGATTTCAAAGTAACAAAGATATAGTGGTAAAAGGATCAGTGCAACAATAAGAGCTAATGATCCTAACACCCAGATGCATAAGACTCATAAAGAGATTTAGACTCAACGAGACAGAAAATTAATAAGGATATCCAGGACTTGAACTCAGATACGGAACAAGTAAACTCAATAAATATTTATAGAGCTCTCCACTTTAAATACAGAAAATATACATTCTCTACCTTAAATACACAAAATATTGATTGGCCATTATTAATACCCATTTTTAGAATAAAGCTACATTCCCATTCTCTCTTCCTCTTTTTCTTCTTCTTTCTTCCTCTCCTTCACTCCTTTTTTTCTTTCTTTCAAAAAAAAAATCCATGTCTTTATTTTTTATTCTGTTTGTTTCTTTTGCTGAAAAACTTTATAAAAATAAATAAATAAATAAAAATTAAATAAAAATAAATAAATAAAAAGCAATAGTATGGTAGAGTGTGGTGGCTCACGCCTGTAATTCCAGCACTTTGGGAGGCTGAGATGGGCAGATTGCTTGAGGTCAGGAGTTTGAGACCAGCCTGGGCAACATGGCAAAATCCTGTTTCTACAAAAGTTCAGAAATTAGCTGGGCATCGTGGAGTGCACCTGTAGTCCCAGCTATTTAGGAGGCTGAGGTAGGAGGATAGCTTGAGCTTGGGATGAGGAGGTTGTAGTGAGCCAAGATGGTACCAATGCACTCTACTCTGGGTGAGAGCTAGACCCCGTGTCAAAGGGAAAAAAAAAGCAATACTATTGAAAATAGCATCCTAAGCATGAAAAACATAGGGTTAAATTTAACAAAGATTTATTAACTGAATTACAAAACATCACTGAGAAAAATTAAAGAAAACTAAATAAACGGAGAAATATACCACATTCATGGTTTGGAAGACTTAGTATTTTACGATATTAACTGTCCTCAAACTGGTCTATAGAGTCAATGAAATTACAGTCAACCTTCCAACAGGCTATTTTGTGGAAATTGACAAGCTGACTCTAAAATTTATGTGGAAATGCAAAGGACCTAAAATTTCCAAATCTATATTGAAAAGAACAAAATTGGAGGACTTACTCTAACTGACTTCCAGATTTGCAATAAACCTATAGTAACTAGAGAGTATGAGGATACATGTAGTGACCAATAAAATAAAACAGAAAAAAAGTATCAAGATAATTTAATGCTGAAAGAATAATATTCTTGAAAGATGGTTCTGGAACAACCAGATACTAGTAAGGAAAACATGATCTTCGACAAAATTAACTCAAAATGGATCATGGACCTAAATGTAAAATAAACAAACAAACAAACAAAATATCTTTGATCCTGGGAAGGCAAAGATCTCTTAGCACACAAAAACACTATTCATAAACATTTAAAAAATAACTTGAATTTCATAACAATGTAAACTTCTGTTCTTCAAAAGACAATAAATGAAAAGTCACAGACTGGAAAAACATTTAAATACAAACATCTGACAGGACTTGAACCCAAAATACATAAAGAATTTTTACAATTCAATATGAGAAAAAGCTAGTTAATAAAAATGGGGAAAAGGTTTGAACAGA